TTCTCACCTGCTGCAGCTGTAGCAAGGAAAAGGGTGCAGAGTTTCTTACAAGGTGCAGGGGGGAGCAACGGGTGATAAAAACAAACAAAACAAACACAAAACAACAACAAAAAAAACAAACCCAAGTATATAGAAACAACAGACTCAAATTGAGTGTAGTATTTGCCAGACAGTAGATAATAAGTTTGTGTGTGGTGAGAGAAATTATTTGGAGAAGACTGAAATTAATAAGCACAGTACATATATTTCAGGTGTTGAATAGCTTTTTAATAGACAGTATTTTCAGGTAACTCTCTAGCCACATAGGCAGCTGTACTGAAGCATACTGGTAGCAGCCAGCAATAATGGCACCTGCAGGAACAAACCTGAAAATACTGGTAATCTTGTATATTTTTTAAGTTCTTTAAAGAGATTTTTAAAAACAGAAAATGAGATTTGATCACTGAAGGTCTTTATCTTCCGCAACACAGGTTGCAATAGTCTTTTTTTCTTTATTTCATTTATTAAATAAAAGGGAATTTGGGTGCCATCTTTCTGTAAACTTTTCGTATGTTTTCTGTAATATTTCCCAAGGCTTTTAGTGGATAATGCAGTGAATTTCTGCTGGCAGTTTGAAAATAACATAGAGTGCGTGACATAGCCTGCATCACTAATACTTTTCCAAGTTTAAACTTGTATTCAAACATGTAGAATACTAGCTTGTTACTGCAGAATTCCATACTTCTAGCTTAGCTTAATTTTCTAGGTGGGCTTAACTTGTGCAGAACACTTCTCCATGCACAGAGGCTCAGTCCTCTTTCTTAAATAGAAAGAAGTGTCTTGGAGGAAGAAATTGTGTTGTCAAGTTAACTCCTGTTTGTACTTCATAGCCAACCATTCATAAAGCACCGTGATTTGGGTTTAGAATGAGGGTTGCGTTTTTATCATGAATGGTCTTTCTAGATATACAAAAATTGCCAAATGAAGATAGGAATATTATAAGAGAAGGTAACTATTTTATGGTATCAGAAGTTAGACTAAATGATATCCTTTGAACCAACTTCTTCAAGCAAAAGGGAATTTGTAAAATAAATTAAGCCCAGCGATTAACCATGGTCACCTAATTCTTAGTCGGTATTCTTTAGAACACGTTGTGTGTTTGTTTTTAAACCCTGTTAAATACATTTTCTTTTGTGTGATCAGTAAACAGTTGTACCCGTTGCTACTGCCTATTCCCTTCAATACAAAACCTGGGGAATAAGCTACTTTAGGATGTCAGTGAAGATATCCTCCTTTTCAAAAGTGTGATGGAACAGCAAAGTAGTAGTATTAGTTATAGATTCTTAGAAATTACCTTAGTACTTAAACAGGTTGGAAAACACTTATACTGAACTTCTGATGGCATGCTCACATGGATTAGTGGAGGAAATTATTGGTGTTACTAGGAACTGTGTACTCCCATTGCACACATGTTTTTACATGGTAACAGTGAAAGAATGTCTCCCTGCAAATTCTGATGTTTTTCCAAAAGGCAGCTTGCTTTTATATCTATGCATCTTTGAGGATTTCAAGATAAGATTTTATTCTTTTGACACTGTAAAGAGGAACTGTTTAAAAATGAACTTGGAAACTCTGCACCTGTATACAAATTTTTTTTAGCAATAAAGCAGCACAGGCTGAGAATGCACTAAAACTGGATGTGTCATTTGTTCAGAAGGAAAATTAACCAACTTACTATGCGCTACAGTCCGCTTCTGAGATGTGTTTGTCCTTGCTGGATATCTGCTTTGGGTCCAGCTGTTCCAGCAGACTTCAGGCACAAAAGCCTCTGACTTCTTGGAAGGCAAGTAAAGAAAAATTGTTACTCCACTCGGACTAAGATGGGCAACTAATCAGAGAAAATCTTCAACGATTGTCTTAGGTGGTAGCAGAAAGCTTCTATTTCTTGTATAGATTGCCTAAAAGTAATAAGCTCCTCAGAAAACCATTTCATATATGTGGATTGTTTATTGTTTTGGCAACTACATTTCTGAAAAAATTCCATTGGTAGTTGGCATGTCACAACCTGCAGGGAGGCACAACTTTCCTTGCAGTTGCTGCTGAAAGCAATTTTGGGAGGTGCTGTTAATGGAGCAGCATGATGCCACCTCATGAGGACTGTGCTGAAGAAGCCGTGGCTCCCAACCCTGCTACAGGCTTTCCAAAACCTGTTACGGATTGCTAACTCTGATACTAGCTTATAGAAGATTCGCAGTATGATTGTTACTTCAGTATCCTGTTCAACCACCTTAATTTGTTTCATTTTCTAGTTGTTTTTGTCTTTAGATTCTAAAGGAGACAGCTGCTGGTTAGCTAACATAAGAAGGCCTGACCTTGAGACCTGCTTTCTAACTGGTTAGTATTTATTTAGAGAATCTATCCTTCCCAAGCCAGACTGGTTCTGGCTGCACTTAAAGATTGAGCACATCTCTTAAGATGCCCAGTTAGAGGAGATTAGGTTCTACAGTAGAATAAAAAAAGCGAAATATTCACTCATCAGTTATAGATTAAGAGGAATTTGAATCTGTGTTGAAGAACTAATTTGAATCTGAATTTAAGCCTATTAGCACATAGCATGAATTTAAACAAATATTGAGTAAGTAATGTAATATAAGGAACCATTAATTTAGTGTTTCATAACGAACCAGGATCTAAGCATGATAAACTAATGGGTTTTTTTTCTGCAAACATAATCTAAAGAAAAGTGGGCTCATGACTCACGTGATACATATGGTGCAGCTCACTGATAATATTTCTGAATTTCAGGGGTTTTATTTAAAAGTTTCTTCTTTACAACTGTAAAGATAATATAAAAAAATATAACTGACAGCTTTCTTTTCCTTTTAAGAATTGACATTTAGCTAAATGAAGCAAGACAATTTAGCACTATTATACACAGTATAGATGTAAAGTACATAGCAAGAAACGGTCTCAATACAGAAACCAGAATGAAAGGGCAAAAGTGAGTAGTGCCAGTATCAGTCACGTTTTTTAGGCTGATGCAACAACAAAAGGGCTGTTACTTAGAAAGTAACACAAAGGTGAAGTTATACAACAGGAAGGTTTACCTGAGACGGGGGCATGCTTGCACAAAATGAGTTTAGTGACAAGATCCCAGTTAAAGACTAACAGGCCCTTAAACATAATGCAGAAGTCACTGCACAACACAACTTTAAAAACGTCTTTGTTCTTAAATAATACAGTAATCAAATACAGCAACTCCAAACTTCACATGAATGTACAGTGACAACTGTTAAAAACAGCCTTCCAGTTAAGGGTTCAGGATAGAGCTCATTTTAGCGAGGCATTACAGGCAATGAAACAGATCTTTCAAGAGCATAATATTTACTTCAGGTAGTTTCTTTTGATATCCTGAATTTAGCTGTCACTGAAAAGGACTGCATTTTTGTAGTTAAGCCTGTCAAAGCTGTAAAACATAATCAAAAATAATTCAGATAGCATACATATTACAATTTAACGGAGAAGCCCCTCCTCTCCCTGCAGAATGGCTGTTGATATTCTATGTTAATGCTTATTCAGAGCAAACCTGGAACTCTTAATCAAAAAGCAGAACAGTGAACATAAGTACAAGTGCCAGCTGCCCACCTAAAGCCTCTGAGGTGCCCTGCAGCGAGTTTTGTCCCCTCAGGTCCAAGCCCATTACAAGAGTTATTTTACAAATAAAACAACTAAGCCTATGAAATACAGGGGGTACTGGCAGCAGCAGCAACAGGGAGCACAACCTGCCAACCATATATGGAAGGAGAAGTAAGGGAATGGCAAACTGCACCACTGGAATTGATAGAGTAAATACAGTCCTCTCTAGTCTGCTACAGACAACTGCTAAACTTTATGGAAGGTTTAAAACATCAGCTCTTTAGGCAGCAAAAGGGAGAAGAAAAGACCCTTAATCTTCCAAGAAGAATTAGGGATATTCTGTCCCAATAACAAGGGGTAAGTAGGGTTCTTCCATCAAATTACTTTCTAGATGTTTGAAAAGAAGCAGAACTTGTTCAGAACAGAAATGCCAATGAGCACTCATATGTTTTTTATGAAACACATCAACTGCCCAAATGAAGGCAGCAGGCAGATCATCACAACTTCAGCAGCACAGTGTTCCCATCATCGAGCAAAAGTGAAGGAGAAGAAAAGACTGTTCTTTGGTTTCAGAGTGTCAACCCCAGAAAGGCTCAAAACTATTAAAGGCAGCTGCTCACAGCTTCATGGAGCAGCCAGAACTTGACTCAGTCCCGTGCAGCCATGGGCCTGCACTTTCAGCAGACTTGGCAGGCACATGGGTTGCCCTTGAATTTGAAATCCAAAACTGTGTGCTCCAGCCAGCATTGTGCCATCCAGATTCATGCACTAAGCACACTGTGTAGCTTCTGTGACATGCTAGCTTGCTCCTTTTGCAGGCCACATACACAATCAGGAGGGCATTTAGCAGTGCCTCACATACCAGATGCAGCTAATGAGCTGCTTGGCCAGCTGCTACCTGCCACTAACACTGTATCTATATGAAAAGGTAGGACAAGATCTTTACATCTCTGTAAGAACATTCAATTTATAATAGCTCCTCTTGAATATGATCTTGTGAGTATGTTTTGTATAGTTCCAGAAAACCAATTTTAGTATTTCAAAGGCTGTTTTTCCCCCTGAAGTCATTAGGGAGAATCAAAGCCATAGTTACACTGTCTCAGAGAGTGATGTGCCGCATGGTAAGCTATTCATTTTTCCAAGCATAACTTCAGTATGTCAGATTTCAGGTGTTCCCCTTGGACTGAAGGGAGGCCCTTAACTGTTGGTTCTTTCCATGCACAGGGAAAGTACAGCTCAACACTCAAACCTGTTCTGGGGTATTATTTCACCATAATGAACAAACTCAGCAGAGACACAGAAACAACTCCAGCAGTTCTTGAAAATGGCGTATTATAGTCAGTTGCGTATATTAAATGGCGTATATTATAGTCAGTTGACTCTGACTATTGCATATCCTGGTGGTAAGCCAACTGTATCTGATGCAGAGCTTTGCCTTTCTGCCACATCATTTTTTTGTTCCAGTTCCTCCAGCTTCTTCATCAGCAATTCTATGCGAATGTGGACCTCCACAAGCTTTTCTTTCAGCTAGGAAAAAAGAGAAATAAGAGTATTAAAACTAGAGAAATATGTCGTAACACTGGATCTTTGAATGCTCTGCACCCCACTTTCAGTGGCTAAAGAGCAGATGACTTTCAAAAGATTACACTGAGCTTTAATCTCTCTACTGCATGTCTAGTACAGCCACAACCGGCACCCAAATCAGAGGCCTGCACTACAAAGAGGAGACAGATGAATGTGTGCCAGCATAACCCCTTTCCGAGATGTACAGAAATACTGTACTTAAGGAGACAGAGTTACTACGATCAATCTAATCTTTCCTATTTAACTCAATACAAGTATTTACACAGGCAGAGACCTTCTTTGACAATATCTGGACAGACTGTTTCATCAGTAGCTTAGGAGTACGCGTGGACAGCCCTTCAAAAATGCCACTTTCAGAGTTTAGGGTGTAAGTTAACACATTTAAAGCACAAGAGTAAAATCCTGCTGACATTATGTCTCAAAAAGCAGAGTCCAGATTCTTGCACTTGTTCTAGTCAACAAGCAAACTCTCCACGGTCACGTAATTTGTGTTTGCAATGAAGTACTGTCATTTTTTTACTTTGGAAAAACGTGTCTCAACTTTAGAAGTCTTATCTGGATAAGATTTTTGCATTTTAGCCTCACTTGACCTATAAAACCACCCTGATCTTATGATAAGATACTGGAAGATGACTTTACAGAGGACAAAACTTGAGAAATGTCATGGGCTCATTTCCATGCTTAGAACAGAAACTGAAAAAAAAAGAAATAAAAAAAGTAAGGAATAAGTAAGCACGTAAATACTGGATACACTGGCTGTCTCCTACACACAGTAACTTTATTTGAGCTATGAGACAGACATAGCTCAAATGTTTATTAAGGTAACAACTAAGTTATAGAAAAGAACATCCAATTTAAACACCAAAAAAGAAGGGAGGTTCTAGTGTTGTCTCCGAAACTTCAAATAAATACTGCCATGCTGTTTTGAGCTTACATAGCCATGAATACAACTGTGCTAGAATCCCTTTCGAATTAACAAATTGCTATTTTTAAAATTCTTCAACAGTGACTTATCAATTCTAGGAACAACACAAGTAGTAATACTTAGTCTGTCTAAATGATTTGTTGTTTTATTTTTTCGAAGTGCAGAGATAAAAGGATAACACACTTTTGCCAGAAAATTAGCTAGAACTGAATATGTTTTGCAGATAAGTGGTTCTAGAAAACGTTCTGTAAGTCTCACGGATGTAAGTCAGACACTGTGTTATAAGTCAGTATTTTCTCCATCTTATGCGCTTTAAAAAAAAAAAAAAGAAAAAGTAATTGCATCAATATTTTTTCGATGAAGATTCAAACATATCACATTTTAAAAATATTTTCCATACAAATTGATGTAGAAACCTTACTTCCTGCAGTTGTTTCTTTAAGGTCACAGCAGGAAAATTCACCTTAGAAGCTTCTATTATAATTTGTTTTTTTAAGAGATAACTGGAAAACAAAAGGGGAAAGAACAAAAGAAAAACAGTTAAAACCCCATAATTGCATTCATTATTTAGATGATTATATAAGATGACTTTAAAGCAGATACAAAGTTGTTGCCAAAAGTAATCAATACATTATGAAAATATTAAAAACACAACACTGGTTTTACTTTGAAGTCATAAGATCCTCTCATGACCAGCTATAAGAAATTTACAGTTTCTATAGTCAAGTCCTCAAGCCATCATGGAACTACTTTGATTCCTTACATTAGCTAAGCAAGTCTGGAACTGAAGATTTCAGTATCGCAAGCAACTAAATTTAAATCTTGACATTACATGAGGATACTCAAAAAGTGAAAGGCAACTCAAATGGAGTCACACCAACACAAACAATTTAAACGTATTAAAATCCCACACCAATGTGCTCAGTCAAAAGTAAAGCCACTTTTGTTAGCTGTAGATTAGTTGTATGCGCTGGTGTAATAACTTGCAAATTCCCATGAAATCACTGACCATAAGAATCTAGAATACTCACCAGAGGATGCTGTCTTTGAAGAAACAGAACAAGCCTCGGAGATACGCCAGGTCACTGGAGGCAGAGTAAAGAACGAAGCCCACGACCGAGCCACATGACCGACAGGATAATGCATTATAAGCACTAAAAGAGAAAAGGAAAAATATTAAACAGAAGCTTCTGAAACCAAAGATACTGCCTGCTTGTCTGAGGACATCAAATAATCAGCTGTATCAGGACAGCAAAACAAGACATAATAATGATTTCTCCTTAAAGAAATAATACGTTCAGAGAAAAGGTGAAAATAAAAAGCTGGGCATGTTTGCAAGAAATAATCTCTGCAATAAGTGAAGTCACAATTAGGGAAGAAAATACATGGCTTCTTACCACAGTGTTATTTAGGCTATACTACTCAAACACAATTTAACTAGTAAAATGCCTGTACCCACACCTGTGGCAGGTCCTGGATGTCAAATTTCCTCTGGATAAAATAGATTATGGCTTCATGTAGAAATGATCTCCCTCTGAAAAAGGACTCTAAAGAAACAAAAACCAACAACCCACATCTTTTACTAAAAAACTACCCAGCCCATATAGATTGTGGAATAGCCTTCAAACATTATTTAAACAAACTACTGGTTCTGTAAGCCTCAGATGATGTTTACATCCTTCCCATCAGACTAATCCCAGAGTTATCGAACCTGCTGCTAACTGCGGGCTCATGAATAGAGTGGAAATTATTTATTTTCAGTATTAAAAAAAAAAACAAAACACGACTCCCCCCCAAAAAATATTTTAATTTAGGTAATACACCTTTTAGGGAAGTAGCAGAAACAAAGAGAACTAAAGGCTAGGCTGTAGGGGCAATGGATTTAAACTGAAAGAGGGCAGATTTAGGTTAGATATAAGAAAGAAATTTTTCACTCTGAGTGGTGAGGCAGTGGAACAGGTTGCCCAGAGAAGTTGTGGATGCCCCATCCCTGGCAGTGTTCAAGGCCAGGTTGGATGAGGCTTTGGGCAACCTGGTGCAGTGGAGGGTTTCCCTGCTCATGGCAGGGGGGTTGGAACTAGATGATCTTTGAGGTCCCTTCCAACCCAAACCATTCTATGATTCTACTGCATTGCTCAAATGTTCTTCTCCATCAACAAAGGCTGGAGCAGCAAAACTTTTGGTTTTGACAAAAATGAAAGCTACAAAAGGTGTCGTTATCCAAAATGATGAAACCCAGGCACGAAAAGCACTTCGGAGTTTACCAAGCCCCTAAGAAACCCCAGTGCACAAGTCAGAACAGCTCCTGGCTCCCAGCTTTGCAGAAGCCCGTTTCCGCCCTCGCAATTCACCGTGGCGACTGTTCCCGGCAGGCCCGATGCCAAAAGCAAGAACTAGGTGACCTACGCACCACCCCAGGAGGGCTCCCTCGAGGCCGATCATGAGCGAATCCTCACAGGCCACGTCGTTTGTCACCTCTGAGGAGAAAGAGAGACCCGCTGAAAACGAGAC